CACGACATTCCTATTTTGCAAGGACTAAGAAGCAAACCCCATATTCCTTTCCTGTTTTTTTAAATAACCGATGCAAAGGTGGACTTAATCTAAAAGCATCAATTGGGGTGCAATTAATCGACGGTGCACTGATCCCAATTTTAAAATGTCACCGTGTTTTATTCCAAAATCAGATTGAAATTGTAATTCTGGGCAAACTTAGATGGAAGGAGCAGGACTTTTCAGTAAGCGCACATGCAATTTGCATTGTATTCCTGCAATCCTATGCCGCAAGTAGCTGAGAATAGGTGCCAGTAGAATCAGGGGGGCGTATCTTGCATGATTGTGGATATAAGAGAGGTAAAGGACCCCTGGATGGTTAAGTCTAGTCAAAGGTGACTATGGGGTGAGGCACTCATCTCACTTTCAGGCGGAGGGAGCCGTCGTTTGTCCACAGACAGCTTTCTGCATCATGTGGCGAGCAGGACTAAACCGCTTCTCGCACTGTGAAGGAAACCAGAGCGCACGGAAACGCCGTTTACCTTCCTGCTGCAGCGGTACCTATTTATCTACTTGCACTGGCGTGCTTTTGAACTGCTAGGTTGGCAGGAGCAGGGACCAAGCAATGGGAGCTCACCCCGTTGCGGGGATTCGAACCACCGACCTTCTGATCGGCAAGTCCTAGGCTCTGTGGTTTAACCCACAGCGCCACCCGTGTCCCCCGTACATATTTTAGGGAATCCAAAATGCACAAGGGCAGATTATCAGCATTTCAAGTGTGAAAGATATTTGGTGGTGGGATGGGGAAGAGGTCCATATTTAGTGATCTGAAAGAACTAATTGGAATATGAGCTCAGATCTACTTTGCATAAAGCTCAGCTTTATTTCAAAGGAAGGTGTTTTTGAGATTTGAGTAGAGATTCCCCCACTTTTAAATCTTTGAACAGAAATAAAAACTTGCACCCCAGACTATGAACACCTTCAGAGAAAGTATATTTGTGCTGCAGTTAAACAAATCGCTAAGTGTGAAAGGTCATCATATTATGAGATTCAAACAAAGGAAATGGACAAATTTAAACAAGCCAGAAACCAACAGTGGGAGGATCATTTATAGTTGGGGACAGAGCTGGCTGCGTTAGAAACCTCACGGGGGCTGTAAATGCAGGGTTGACTGCTCTGTGGTTTTACATTTGCTGAATCAGCTCTGTCAGTCAAATCTTCTTGTTGTTCATGGTGCTGTTGTTCACTTTTACTTGAAAAGCAGATTTAATAAAAAAAAAATCTCCAACAATTTATACTCTTTTGTTTCATCTACTGAGTCAACTCAATGTTTTACATCACCTGACAATCTCATGCCAGCCCATTACTGACCAGATGCTGCGGGTGAACGACAAGGGAAGGATGCCAACGCAACTGGAGGTGGGCAAGGCCAGCCACCTCCTCCCCAGTCACGCCAGAACATGGCAGCCTTCCTGGACCCAGAGCGACTGCACCATGCAGCAACAGACGCCCACCCAGGTGAACAGATAATTCAAACCTGGCTTGTGAGGTCCCTTGATGAAGCTATTATTATTATTATTATTATTATTATTATTATTATTAAATTTATTATTTAGATTTGCCTTGAGAGAGTCTTTAAACCTCTTTTGTTGACCACCGGCATTACGCTTTCCATTTTTAAGTTTGGAACAGAGTAATTGCTTTGGAAGACGGGAATCAGGCATCCACACAACATGACCAGTCCAACGAAGTTGATGTTGAAGAATCATTGCTTCACACCGACAACTGGGAAACACTGGCCTACGAGCGCTCCAGTAGGAGAACAGCCTTTCCCAAAGGTGTTATGGACTTTGAAGACGCTCAAACTCAGGACGAAAGAGAGAAACGTGCTAAGAGGAAGGTACACTTAGCAAACCCTCACCGTGATCCTGCCCGGAAACCTATGTCCCCACTGTGGAAGGACGTATGGATCCAGAAGTGGCCTCCACAGTCACTTACGGACTCACTGTTAAAACCATGTTCATGGAATACAATCTTACTCGGCTACATGTGATCACCAAAGAAGAAGATTATTCTTATTATTCTTATTCTTATTATTTAATAATAATGATGCATTTATGTACAAAACATAAACAACTATAACTAAATGTTACTTGTATGGCTCACAGCCAGAAGGGGTGTGTGATGGGATAATGAGCTGCTTGTGCGTAAAATGCAAGTCCCTCAGAGTTTGATCAGGTTCTCAAACCTCTGCCTGTGACGGAGCCCCTCCGGCAACTGCTGCGTCAGTCGCTAGCAGAGTCCGAAAGAGGTTGCTTTCGGAATCTCTTCCAACATAAAAGCTCCTTAACGGAAACACGTCTTCTGGACTCTCTGCGTGACAGTTTCCGGCGAGGAGTGGGTGTCCCTATAGGAGGTCCTGAGACCTCCCCACTGTTTTCGCTGGAAGTGTCTCTGAGCCATCCCTCCGACTCACTTTCCCTTGGAGTTCCTTCTCTCCCCCTACTGGTTCCCTCTTCAGCTGCTACGTCTCTCTCAACCTCAGTGAGCCTTTCCACCTCCTGTCCTTCCGATGGCAGTTCCCTGACAGGGGGAAAGAACAAATTTAAATTCCCAATAAAGTGGAACCTCTAGTTGCGGACACGATCCGTTCCAGGGTGCCGTTCGCACCCTGAAAAGTCCGCAACTAGAGCAGCGCTTCTGCACATGTGAGAAGCACCCAGAACGCTTCTACGCACGCACACGCGGCGAAACCCGGAAGTATACACTTCTGGGTTTGCCGCATTCACAAGCTGAAAAGACGCAACATGAACCTAACACAACATGAGGTATGACTGTACCCCATAGTATTAAAACAATAACAAATAAGATAAAAGTAAACAAAATCTACAGAGCTAAAGGTAAAGGTAAAGGGACCCCTGACCATTAGGTCCAGTCGTGGCCGACTTTGGGGTTGCGGCGCTCATCTTGCTTTATTGACTGAGGGAGCAGGCATACAGCTTCCAGGTCATGTGGCCAGCATGACTAAGCCGCTTCTGGCGAACCAGAGCAGCGCACGGAAACACCGTTTACCTTCCCGCTGGAGTGGTACCTATTTATCTACTTGCACTTGGACGTGCTTTCGAACGGCTAGGTCGGCAGGAGCAGGGACAAAGCAATGGGATCTCACCCCGTCGCAGGGATTCGAACCACGACCTTCGGATCGGCAAGTCCTAGGCTCTGTGGTTCACCAGAAGCAGCTTAGTCATGCTGGCCACATGCCCCGGAAGCTGTACGCCGGCTCCCCTGGCCAGTAAAGCGAGATGAGCGCCACAACCCCAGAGTCAGCCATGACTGGACCTAATGGTCAGGGGTCCCTTTACCTTTACCTTTACAGTGGTACCTCGCAAGACGAATGCCTCGCAAGACAAAAAACTCGCTAGACGAAAGGGTTTTTTGTTTTTTGAGCTGCTTCGCAAGACGATTTTCCCTATGGGCTTGCTTCGCAAGACGGAAATGTCTTGCAAGTTTGTTTCCTTTTTCTTAACACCGTTAATACAGTTGCGACTTCATGTGATGGAGGCAATGTCCGAGAAGTCCACCCTATCTCAGAATTTCTAAACATCGTCTCTGAGAAAGAAGGTGTGATGTGGAGCCCTTAAAGAAGAATCCTAAGTTTTCCCCCTTCCCCCTAACACATAGCTGTCAACTTGCAGATTTGAAAATAAGGGACCAGCAGCCTCGAAAATAAGGGATCAGCAGCCAAAATAAAGGATTTTAGTCAACCAGCTGAAATACAAAGTTAAAAGGGACCAGATAATTTTGGAGAGCAGCGCCAGTTTTTAGCCCTTCGTTTCCAGAGGTTGCTGCTCAAGACACCAACTGATGAAACACTGCAATTAATTAACTACAGGCAGTAACCACTTTTCACACAAAACGAAGTCCAAGCTACGAAGATGCTGCTGCAGTTCTGTATCTTTTCTCTCGTGCTCCATCTGCAGCTTTCAGTTCCATCAGGTGGGGTGGGAGGAAGGGGAGGGAAACAGCGCCCGAAGTAAACCCGCAGATCAGACCATCTATGCTGGTCTACCACTACAAATCTATGGGAGAAGCACTTGCGGTCCTTCCTCCACTTTCCCCCTCTGTGGTTAGCCCTTGGAACACCTGCCCGTGCCTCCGCCTCCTCCTCTCTCTCTGAACTGCTTTCTCTATGGTTGCCCTCGGTCTCCTCTCAAAGCTCCTCAGCAATTCATAGGCTGCGCCAGGCTGCCCATCTCATCCGGGTCCTTCAGCGACGCAGCTGCAGTATGGCCTAGTGGGAGCAGTGGCGGCAGTGGCGGGCAGAGGGGAGGCCCCAGGCAGAGATGCTCAGTTCGGCGGCCGCGAGGAGGATGGCGGCGGAAGGGCCCGAGGTTCCCACCAGTCCCGGCGGGGAGGGGCTCCCGGGGGCCAAGGCTGGTGAGAGGAGGTCGGAGGGGGGCGGGCCGGGCAGCCAAGCAACACAGTTGGAGTCTCCCTCCTCCCTGGCCAGCAGGGAGGGAGGGAGAGGAGCTGCTTCCTTTGAAACCCGGGAAATTTAAGGGACATCATCAATAAGGGACAGCAGCGGGACACGGCGCTGGGATAAGGGAGTTTCCCGCCAAATAAGGGATGGTTGACAGCTATGCCCTAACAGCCTGTGTCCCATATTACTCATCACTGCCGTTTGCTGTCACATCTAGTGAGGGAAAATGCCACTTGCGTATATTTTGGATCTAGGAGGACTTGAATATTTCACAGTTGGGAAGGGATGTAGCTCATTGTGAGAGGATCAGCCTTGCATGCAGAAGGTTCAAAGACCAACATCTCCAGCTACAGCAAGGGAAGACACTCTGTCTGAAACCCTGGAAAGCTACTATGGGTCAGTGCAGGCAATGCTAAACATTTAGTCTATATTAGCATTTTTATGTAGTACTTTTCAGTTTTGTGTACTTTCAACCCAGCCATGAATAATTAAATGCTCCATGCACTAGCAATAACCGAAGAGAGCTGCAATTTGAAGGGAGTTTCCAATTAGAGATCTTAGACTTCTTAAGATCAGTACAAAAATGTTACAAATAAAAAGTCACAATATGAAATAGCAGCTCCATGTAATGTTCAAGTTTTACTCAAAGTGACAGTTCAGTTTGATTTGTTCTTTGATGCCTCATCAGAGTTCTCCACAAGATCTGGAACTTCAGCGTCATCTTCCTCACCAGTAGCAAGAGGTGCTTTTCCATCCACAGGTTGTTTGGGCAGAGCCTCTGCTAGTCTCATCAAGCTGGTCAGACTGTCAGCACCAAGCTGGTTTAAGATGCTAGGTAGCATTTCAGTCAGCGGCTTTGTCTCAGCATGGCCTCTGATTGTGAAAGTGTTAGCTGCTAAAAATGCTTGAACTTTAGGGTTGTTGAAGTGGATGGCAATGCCCTGGTTGGTAAACATGTTTACCACTTCAATACCAGAGATGTTATTTACTCCAAGTTTCTTTAATGAAAACTGAAGCTTCCCAGTAGTGATGTATGGAAGTGAGAGCTGGACCATAAAGAAGGCTGATCGCCAAAGAATTGATGCTTTTGGATTCTGGTGCTGGAGGAGACTCTTGAGAGTCCCATGGACTGCAAGAAGATCAAACCTCTCCATTCTTAAGGAAATCAGCCCTGAGTGCTCACTGGAAGGACAGATCCTGAAGCTGAGACTCCAATACTCTGGCCACCTCATGAGAAGAGAAGAATCCCTGGAAAAGACCCTGATGTTGGGAAAGATGGAGGGCACAAGGAGAAGGGGACGACAGAGGACGAGATGGTTGGATAGTGTTCTCGAAGCTACAAACATGAGTCCGACCAAACTGCGGGAGGCAATGGAAGACAGAAGTGCCTGGTGTGCTCTGGTCCATGGGGTCACAAAGAGTTGGACATGACTAAACTACTAAACAACAACAACGAAGCTTCTTGTCATCTGCTGTTGCTGTTCTGTGAACCACCTTCTTTCTACAGGCAGTACCCTTCCCACTGATGTGCACTTGAGCTTGAAGCTTAGCTAGTTTTTCTTGATTCATGATAGTTTCTTTCATCTGTGGCTGCTGCTCCCACCTTCACCGCCGCCACGCCTACCTATCTCCCTTTCCCCCCAGTGCAGGCAATGCTGAGACCAATGGTGCGATTCAGCAGAAGGCAGCATTCTATGTTCCTTCATAGACCAAATAATTGTTTGAGAGGCTGAGGCTGCATGACCTAAAAGTTCAGGGATCAGCATATGTACATGCAAGGGAAATGGAGTTCCGTCCCATCTCTCTATGAGCTAGCCAACCATTTCCAAGGAGGAGTCCAGCTTTCTCCATGTAATCTCTAGCGTTCAAACTTTAAGGCGGCCAACTTACAGCCACCTCAGCACTTATGTCTGCAAGTACTTTCACCTGATAGTCCCGGGGGAAGATAGAAGGAAGGGGAGGGGGCGTTGGGAGGGGAGGGGAGGGCCGCTGCTCCATAGAGACAGGCCAGGGTTTTTCAAATAGTTCTGCTAATTTCACAAAGATGCGTGATAATGTCCCCCATATGGCTTTCTGCTTTTTAACAACGAGAAATTGAACCCACATTTTGGAGACACAAGTTTTGCTGATAGACAGCTGATAGTAACTATTGGCCTTTTGGTTTTAATTATTCTAAAAACAGCCTGGGGATCATTTACCCAGAGTTAATGGCCTTTTTAAGGAGCAAGATAAGTCCACAGATGTGACAGGGAACAGCATGTGGGTCAAAGCTACTGCTGAGGTTAGAATTGGGAGTTGTCAGACATCCCAGAACCAGCCTCTACAGTACAGGAATGTGTCCTTTCACTGTCTGAAAGAACTTTTCGTCCTCAACATTGACTATGGGCTGGATCCAGACTTAGTCATGTTCAAGGGAGACTGATGGAAGTCAAGGGGGCTTTATTGAGTCATGACTGACTTACGTCCCACTGATCTCAACAGGTCTGCTCTAAGCACAACTATGCCTGGATCCAAGCCTGTGTAGAACATTCTATAAAATCCTTTTGTGATGGCTACACCATGCTGACAATGGTCCTCCCCTGTTCATTCCACGTCCATCCATTTCCTACCTGTTCCACCAGATCAGGTCCTCAATTCTGGATCACTTATGCAGCAAGCTGAAAGTGGACAGGACTTCTACAGCTTGAATCCAGGTGCTTAACACTCACCTGAGATCTGTACAGAAATTGTTCTTTGGAAACCTGGCAATCTCAGCCAATTGAACTACACAGCCAGATCCGGTGCATATTTACTCAGAGGTAACCCCTGTTGAGCTTGACAGGATTACTCCCTGGGGGAAAATGCAAAGAACAGGGTTAATAATAATAATAATAATAATAATAATAATAATAATAATATATTTATAACCCGCCCATCTGGCTGGGCTTCCCCAGCCACTCTGGGCGGCTTCCAACAAAATATTAAAATACCGTAATACATCAAACATTAAAAGCTTCCCTAAACAGGGCTGCCTTCAGATGTCTTCTAAAAGTCTGGTAGTTAGTGTTCTCTTTTACATCTGGTGGGAGGGCGTTCCACAGGGCGGGCGCCACTACCGAGAAGGCCCTCTGCCTGGTTCCCTGTAACTTGGCTTCTCGCAGCGAGGGAACTGCCAGAAGGCCCTCGGTGCTGGACCTCAGTGTCCGGGTAGAATGATGGGGGTGGAGACGCTCCTTCATTTGGATACAAAAACGTCAACGCTACGTTCAGACAATCCTGTGATGTTGTCGTCGCCTCTTCTAATGGTGAACTCAGGTGGGGGGTTTCAGTGGGGCCAAAAGAGTGCCACTGGGAAAGAAGAGGTGAGGTCTTGACATACACCAATATTTGCAAAAGTATAAGATTAAAAAAAAAATCAAGGCGGGCCATGCTCTTTATCCACAAGCCAGTGGTGTAGCATGGATTGCCAGTGCCCAGAGCCACGCAGAGGGTGGTAGGAAGGGAAACAGACAAAGTATGCATGGGCATTCAATGACCTGAGGCATCTTTGTCACCCAGGAGATCTATGTAAACAAATAGCCAAAGCAAAATAAATGGCTCCAATATCAGGATAAGCAGCAGCCTTAAAGACATTTCGGAGGCATCTAAAGATGTGGCAATAGCCACTATCTGGGGTGGCTTTTACAAAAATGATTAGGCCAATTCATAGAGGACTGGCGAATTGCCAACTATTAGCCTTGAAGCCAAATGGTGCCAAATGGTGCCAACTATTAGCCTTGGGCCAAATGGTGCCAAAGAAGGATAGGACATTTTTTATGTATGCTACAACAGCAGCAAGAATCCTTCTAGCAAAGTATTGGAAGACACAAGATCTACCCACGTTGGAAGAATGGCAGACGAAGGTGATCGATTATATGGGACTGGCAGAGATGACTGGCAGAATCCGAGACCGGGGGAAAGAGGCGGTGGATGAAGACTGGAACAAATTTAAAGTTTATCTTAAAAACTGTTGTAATTTGGAAAATTAGAGGATCAGGGTAATAAGAGATAAAGAACTACAGTTGTTTTAATATCTTATGGAAGTTAAATTTACGAAATAGAAATAAGTTTTAATACGAAAGGGTTGCTGAAAAATCTTGAAACAAGAATGCAGAAAAGGGGTGGTACGGGGAAGTCGTTTTTGTCTTTATCTATGTTTTTGCTTTGTTTTCTTTTTTACTTATGGAAAATTAATAAAGATTTATTTAAAAAAAAAAAAGACATTTCGGAGGCATCTAAAGATGTGGCAATAGCCACTATCTGGGGTGGCTTTTACAAAAATGATTAGGCCAATTCATAGAGGACTGGCGAATTGCCAACTATTAGCCTTGAAGGCTAAATGGTGACTTCCGTGTTCAGATACCATATTCTAGGGATGGGAAACTTGTGGCCCTCTAGATGTTGCCGGACTCCAGCTCCCATCACTCCCAGCCAGTATGACCAATGGGAGCTGGAGTCTAGCAACACCTGAAAGGCTCAAAAGGTTGCCTAGGCCTACCACACACCTCTCAGGGTTGGATATTTGGAACAAAATGAAGACGTAGGCTGCACACGATGTTAACTGACTGCCGGCCCTTCCATTAGGCAGAGTGAAACAGAGTGCGCCCCACAGTTTGTCCTCAAACCCCTAAAATAGCCTGAAGCCTCCAAGTGTCTTGGGAGACACTATCACATTGCCAGAGTTGGTGGCAAAATTTAGCGGCCAGTCACTCGACTGCTTCTGCATGTGGAATGGGGCGGGGGGACGGACACACCATCTTGTCCTTTCCCTCAGGCAACAAAATGTCTTGGGTTGGGCCTGGACTGCTGTGAGTGGGGAAACCGGAATACTAAAAGAGAGAAAGAGAATGGAATATCCAGGAAGAAGATATGGCTGGCCACTCTGAATGGGAGCCTTCCGCACCACAACACTTTGTTGCAGTCCCCACTTCTAAACTTGACGACAGCAACTTCTCCTTTGCAGGAAGGGTGACGAGAGGCGACCGCGTATTCTTGCGGCTTCTCCGCAGAGGAAATCTCCCTTCTGCGAGGGAAGAGCCTATCAATTTTGCAGAGCTTTTCAGCCCATTATCACATTACAGGTAGGCAGTTGTCACAAGGCATTAGGCTTAAATGACTTTGACAGCATAACTGCGGGCTAGCTCCAGGCTTGGCAGCCTGCGGAACACCTGCAGCTCACAATGCGCGGCAGCCACAAGGCCAGGCCAGGGTGTTCCGCCCAGAGGCGGAGAGGCATGTTTCGCTTCCCGCATCACTGGGAAGAGCTGACAGCCTCAACTGACAGCCAACATCACAAGACGCCTCTTTAACACACACACAGAGAGAGAGAGAAACAAAGACCTTGACCAGACGTTGTCCAGAACATATATCAGACCAGCACCCGCCATATTTAATAAAGAGAGGCCTCTTTATGGCATTTCTTGATAAAAACACTCATCAGAAAAAGCAAGAACATGACTTTTCCCATTAGGAAGATTGGAACTCAGACTTATTTTCCAGAGACAGTCCCAGATTCACAGAAGCTGTCCTGGTTTCTGATTTGATCCCAGAATGTCCCGCTTTTCCTTAGGACGTCCCTATTTTAATCAGAGAAATGTTGGAGGGCATGGAGTTATGCGACCCCAGAGCCAAGGAGATAAGTAACTAAGCAACCTTTGGAAGATATCTGAAGGCAGCCCTCTATGGAGATGTTTTTAATGTTTAATGGGTGGCGCTGGGGTCTAAACCACTGAAGAAGAGAAGAAGAGTCTGGATTTGATATCCCGCTTTATCACTACCCTAAGGAGTCTCAAAGCGGATACTGAGCTTAGGGCTTGCTGATTGGAAGGTCAGTGGTTCGAATCCCCGCAACGGGGTGAGCTCCCGTTGCTTGGTCCCAGCTCCTGCCAACCTAGCAGTTCGAAAGCACGCCAGTGCAAGTAGATAAATAGGTACCACTCCGGTGGGAAGGTAAACGACGTTTCCGTGCGCTGCTCTAGTTTCGCCAGACACGGCTTAGTGATGCTGGCCACATGACCCGGAAAAACTGTCTGTGGACAAACGTTGGCTCCCTCGGCCAGTAAAGTGAGATGAGTACCGCAACCCCAGAGTCATCCGCAACTGGACTTAACTGTCAGCAGTCCTTTACCTTTACATTTTTATATATGTTGGAAGTCGCCAGGAGTGGCTGGGGCAACCCAGTCAGATGGGCAGGGTGTTGGTATTATTATTATTATTATTATTATTATTATTATTATTATTATTAAATAGGATGTCCCTCTTTTCATAGTAGAAATGTCAGAGGGTATGGAATCTGCCTTAAACCAAATCAGGCCATTTGGTTCACCCAGCTAAGTACTGTGTCTTTGGTTGGAACTTCCATTTCTGCGCATATAGAATCCTAGCCGCTGTCGTTACATACCTAAATATTGATTCTATATTTATTTATGCACTCACACACTCAAAACCAAGATGAGTTGTGCACTGCCATTTTTTAAAGCCAGAATTCTAGCTGCTAGGACAAGGATGGCACAGCCCTAGAAGTGGAACTGGGAAATTCAGGGCAAGCGATACAGAAATGTCAATTC